CATGGAGTTTTTTTTTTTTTTTTTTTTAGCTGCAGAGCAGCTGTCCAATAATCTGCAGTTTCCTTTCAACTGTGTTCTGATTGTGTGTGTTGTTACCTGTGGGAATAGAAGTGGGGAAATTGGTTTTGTGCTTATCAAAGTGTGGAAAAAGATACTGATACTGATACTGATAAACCAATTTGGCACACGTCAGCAGTAAATCTGTTGAGTAAATGTTCAGTAGAACTGGTTCTGTTTTTCTGTTGTTTCTCTTTTTTTTTCGAGATTTTATGTTGATGTCTAGCTTTTTGCCATTTGTGGTGAGATGCCACAGTATAAGCTTTATTTAATCACAGGAAAGTAGGATGCCACAGTGTATAAATGGTCCAGAAGCAAACTCAGAAGAACAAGGGACTCAGGTCACACAAAGTACAGGAGCCATATGAGGCTCCTATTTTTAGAGTGAGATCTTCGTGAAAATAGTGTTGTTGCAGTTCTAAACTGTGATCTTCATTTCACCTTGTTTTCTTGTCTGCCTCCAATTAACCCTGCAACTGTCATGTGCAGTCAGATGTCACCCTTCGAGTACATGTTAAAATAACAACAGATTTATACAATTTTATTACACGACCTAATTGGCTTGCTTTACAGTGTGAGTGTGTGTGTGTGTGTGTGTGTGTGTGATGCTGTTATGAGGGAAAGTATAAAGGGGTTTCCTTCTGCCACCAGCTGTCCTAGAATCAGCCTCAATGGATAAGTTCATCCCTGAGTCTCCACAAGGCAGTGAAGCTGGAGATCTCTCGCCCTGCAGGTCGCCCTCTACACCACGACACATGCGCTTCAGGGGTCCTGGAGGTAACACTGCATTTTCTCTGTGTGTGTGTGTGTGTGTGTGTGTGTGTGTGTGTGTGTGTGTGTGCGCGCTTGTGCGAGGAAAGAGGTGATTAACAGAAAAATCTCTCAAAAGTTCAAATGTTTGTATTAAAACTTTCAAAAGCATTCTTTTTTTTAATATATAAAATTATGCTCATTATGGAGAGAAACACAGCTGTGTGCACAAAGTAATTTGTCTGAAATTACATTTTTCAAATTAAAAGCCTTAAGTTGTAAAATATCTTACATTGTTAGTTACTAGGTTTTAGATTTAAGGCTTTTTAGGCCATTCTTATCCCAGTGATTACACTAAAAGCTGACAAAGCGACAAGAGACAGTTTATTATCTGTGTAAGTGTCTAAGCGACAGCAACAAGCTTGACATTCAGGGCAACGTTTAAACTGAGATTTTCTTGATTCTACACAAATTAGTTATGATGTGCTAAAGTGACAAATCCAATTAGCTAACATCCCACAATTCTCTACTTCTAAAATTCAGTCACTTTGTGCTTTTAGTTTCCGGTTAACATTGTTTGTTTGGCATGCAAGGATGGAACCTTGGTTTTGTCTTTTCCTGGGTATCACACTATATATATATATATATATATATATATATATATATATATATATATATATATACACATACATACACACACACACACACATATATATATATTTGAACTATCCTCATTATAAATTACAGTTGAATGCAAAGGTTTGTACACACTTAGGTCAGAGTCTCCAGTCTCCTTCATATCCTTGGTCAGTCATATTGCTTGACAATTGTTGGCCATTCTTCTTTCTATTTCTGTCATAACTAAGATATAAACTGCCTTTTTCAAGTCACACATCAGGTCTGGAGCATAAGAGCGTCATGGAAAAAATTACTTTTCAAATTACTCTTGTTAATGTTTTGGATTATTGTCTTGCTGCAGCATATACCATTTTATTTTTAACATTTCAGCAGACCTAACATCAGGGTATGCTGCTACCACTTATCCCTCAAAAATACGCAGAAACGTACGCAGAACTCTGATATTAACTGAATTTTTTCAGAAACTGATATTAACTGACACCCTGGAAGGCCCAGTCCCTTCCTCCCATCTAACATTAGTAATCTTTCATCTCGATTTTTGCTGTTTGATAGATGCCACTCCTTTACTTTCTGTCAGTGTAAATGGAGAATGTTTTCAGTTCATTAATGTGAAATAACATCTATCAGTGTATGTTTTATTTAGCTAACATTAGACAAGTATGTAGTTAACAACAGTTAACTATATTTATTAGGCATGCCAAGAGAAAATTTCGGCCAACATAGTCAAAAACAAAGAGGCACTTTTTTGGCCGAAAGAGGGGGGAAAAAGATTGAATAGGCCTACAATGAAGTGTAAAATCTAACAATTTACAAATAATTTTAATGGTAATGATCCCTCCTTCCAGGTGGTGGTATTTGGAATGAGCAGCATGCCATATAGTTACAGTATCAAGTTTAATCACCATGAGGTGCAATATATTTATTCATACCTACCAAATGAAAACTTTTGCAGATGTCAGAAGGAATAAGTTTTATGTTCTTTTTCTGGTTGTTTAATCTACTTGCCTGCTGGGCAACTATAAATTAAAAACTAATAGCCTGGACATGAAATCTGCTTGTTCTGGGCACCCTGGCTGCTGTTTTATCCACTTCTGAATAGTTAAGAGTAGGATTTAAGACAGTGAAATCAGTTCCTATGCATGTGCTGTTCAGAGTTCCTGTTGCTTAATTCAGCTCCAGGGGAACTACTACACATAAAACATTGTCAGGCTAAATGCAGAAGACCTCGGATTGCTCAAAAAAGTCCAGTTCTGTTAATAAAGGGCCCATTTATCCTTGGGCTGAGTCTGTTAATTCATGTGTTTGGATGACATTAGAGGGTAGTTATGTATAGGGCACTTGGAACCAGGTTCAATAATATTTGTCTTATTTCCCCTGACACATGTTTATGGTTGGCACAGCTCAGTGCAGGGTAACATTATATCCATAATGTTTGTTTTTATAGTGCTGTACAATACCTTTGTTTAGTTTATTACTCCACTTATGCTGTTCTGATAATGCCCAATATTTCACATTAATGCATTTTATTTCCCCACTTGGCCTTTGCTGTGTTTCTTCCCATGCACTGTGCAGAGAAATTTCCACTGAAAGCCAATTCCATATGGTCACTCGCCCACAGGGGACACCTGGTTAACCTAGAGAGGAAAATTTCCCAAGATGCCTTTGATTCTGTATTCATTTATGTATACAGTTGGCAACACTGACAGGCTGACAGATTCTACTGTAGTCAAGGAGACCTTGTGTTGGTTTATTTTACATATTACCCCAGTGACCCTTTCCTTGAACATGTAACCTGTCTTCCTTATGTCATTGGTGTTTTTTTCTGTACTTTTATATATGTATGTTTTCTCCCCACAGTCCCAGCAGCAGAGAACTCACGTTGTTCAGTGTCTCCAGCTTCAGCCTTCGCTATTGCAACAGCCGCCGCTGGCCACAGCAGCCCCCCAGGTACACAGACATCATAAGCAACAATACAACAATGAGTTATGTAAAAATAAGGTATTTTCAAAATGTGGAACAGACTTAAGGGGCATTTTTATACAAAAACGTGTTTCTGCACATTTAGTCACAGAAGCTGCACTGGATTTACACTGTGTGATTACAGCTGTCTTTTGAGATTAATATCCCAGTTGATCCCAATGAACTCTTGGCTGAATTCTATATCAGACATTATTGCATAATGTCCTACTACAAAATGAAGACCTGTGATTAAAGAAAATTATTACGTCCTGCTGATGTCAGTCAATTACTGCAATCCGGGCTCTTGCACAGCAAAGCAGCATGGG